ATCCACTTATATTTACATGTCTGCATGTGTTCATGGATTATATGATGTGTCTTTATATGTGTGGGCCCCCTGTAAGCCTTGGGCAGTAGCCCAGCCACCTTTCATCTCTGATTGAAGTTCAGCACTGCTCACCCCCCCAAATACCCTAAGGAAACTCATCGCCCACTCTGCACTGTCTGGACGTGATGTGTCAGGGAATTCTCTCAGGGTCCCTTTTCTAGCAAGCTTTGGAGTAGATGGACACAGACACACTATTTCTCCCCACAGGCTTCCTGAACCCCAGGGGCCACGCCAAAGGTTTCAGCCCTCAGGGAAGGGAGCCTTGGAACTGGAGCCAGATTTAGGGACATTGAGACACACACTAACCTGTGCATAAAGTGACACATTAGAGACAAGGTCCCTTACAATGTTTCCTGCCACTGAGACACAATACCATGGAGACACACCCCACAGAAACCCAGTTACACACAATAACACATGGGCACACACTCAGAAATCCAATGGAAAATCCCCAGGCCAGAAAGCTTAGCACCCTCCCTCTTTCTGGACTCAAGCTCAGCCTTGCCCCACCCCCAAAGGCCTGGCTCAGCTGTTTTCCTGTCCTGGAAAATACTGACCTCAGAGAGTGGAGTGACTCGGGGGCTGAAGGTGGTACACCCTTCTCAGAAGCAACCCTTTCCTTGTTCAGGCTGCCCCCACCCCCCTCCTGACCTTCATCCCTTTTAGCTGATGCCTCTCTCTGGTACACCCATACTCTCACGAACACACCTTAACACTCACAGACGGCCACAGAGGTGCATTCAATTGCCAGGGCGTACTCAGTCACAGTCCACTTATACACCCATTGTTCTGTTCTCTCACACACACTCTCAGACACACACGCCAGCAGCTACACCTACACACTGACCATCCCAGGCACACAGAGCCACATACACCACACTCAAATACACACAGGGTTACACTCAAGCAGTGATCTCTTTCATCCTACCCTTTTCTGATCTGTGCCTTGTCTTCCTCCCCAGGGACCTGCGCCCCTATAGGTTCCAAGTTGCCTATGGAGATCCTTTTCCTTGTGCAGAAGGGAGTGCAAGGCAGGAAGGTCCTTACCTCATAGGGCATATCAAAAGCTGAAGCCAAATATGGGGAGATGGAGTGTGTTGCTGACCTTGTCCTGTCCTGCCACTGTCTAACTCTGATCCCTGCTGCTGCCACTGAAGCCTGTCCCAACCCTCAGACCCTGCAGAGTCAGCTGGAAGTACCTCAGCACGGAATAGGCAGTTGGAGCGGAAATGATTGTATTTGGCTGCTATTCACCACCCATGGCCCCTAGAAGACACAGGTCCGGAGCCAGCCAAGCTTCTGGACTAGTTCTGGGCATTTCTAGAGGATCAGAAAGCTGCCAGGTTGACAGAGGCGTCTGAGAACTGAGGAGAGGAAGGAGAGGGAAGAGTGTGAGGAAGGCAACAGTCCTAGAAGCGCCACTGCTCTTAGATTCACCCACTTTCCCAAGCCCTCCACTTCCAGCCAATATAAGCTCCATTAAGGCTCTCAGCCTTTAGGATGCCTGCCATCAAGACCCCACCACACCTTTGGGGTGATATTTCACAGGGCATGTGTCCCCTTGAGTGCCTATGCAGGGCTAAGGTTGAGAAAACTTCAGTGGCCCTGTTTTTCCAACCCCCCATCCTGGCTCAGGGCCCTTAGCTAACCTTGCAGTGGAAGGATCCACACACTGGTGGTGACAGTGTGGGTGTTGTTGATATCCCTGGCCATGGTGGCAAGATTGGTGGCTGCAGTGGTGGCAGTTGGGCTTTGGGGTTTCTGCCGGTACCTTCTGCGGCTACACTTGAACATCTTTGGAAACCTGGGCCGAGGCCAGCCCATACCTGGTCTGCGGTAGGGGGAACGTAAGCCCTGGGGCCGAGGGGCACGGACAAGCTGAAAAGGCCCCATGGCCACAGAGAGCTTCTGTAGTGTGCCTGAGGGCTGCTGGCCAGGGCAGCTGAAGTCTTTATGACATACAGAGTCTGTATATGGGTGGGGCTCTTTATTACAGTTCCTGGTCCCTGGGCCCCTCCCCATAGGTCAGGTTCTCTTACATTCTCTCCATGGGTCAGTCCAGCCAGAAAACCTCAGCTCAGCCCCTTGGGAAAAAGGAACTCCGAGTAGGAGAAAATCACTCCTTTACTTTTTCACTCATCCACATTAACAATATTAACAATTTTTATTGAGCATTTACTATGTGCCAGATATGGTACCAAGTACTTTACAAACGTTATCTCATTTAATACTACAATAACCCTACAGGAGATTCTATAATTATTCTCATTTCATATATGATTGACTCTTGTTATTGATGGTAGTTATGTTCTAATAAAGTCACCACTACGAACATTGAATTAGCAAATACTGAGCCAATGCTCCTAGAAGAAATACAGGGTGAGATTCCTACCAGGTCATAACATTTTCATCAATTGATTGATCAGTACATCACCTAGTTTTATGTGTTTTTCTGTTTAAAGACACCTAACTTAAAAATTATTGTTGACTCATTAACATTGAACTCATAGCCAATAGCACTATAACTCATACCTGAATGAAGTTCAGATAACACACGCATTTCCTCTGTAAGGCACATCACAACCCTCTTGTGCTTAGCAACATTAGACAGCACTTCAGCATTATGTTGGTGACCATTTAAACAGCAAAAGCCCCAAAATGCAAAAAATGTGACACTAAATAGACCACAAAAAGAGCACTTGTTCACATTATAATAGCTGAAATGAGAAGACAGTGTGTTCTCTTGTTCAGCTTTAGCTGAGAGCGTGCAAGTTGGGCAACTCAAATTTTTGCAGCTCTGCACATGTCCATGAATAACCACAAAAGGGCCATAAATATTGGTTTGGGGTTACAAATAAATTTTAATGAGTAGGTAAATTCACAAATATGTAATTTGTGCATGATGAAGATTGATCATATAAGAAAATTGAGGTTCAGGTGAAGTCACACAATCAGAGGCAGGCAGGGGTTCAAATCCATCATGGCCAAAGTCCAAAGCCCGGACATTTAACTCTTGTTATCCTGCATTCATTCATTCATTCATTCGTTCATTCAATCATTCAGGAAATGTTCACTAACAACTTCATGTGTGCAGGACGCTGGGGACATAGATTAATGTGACCTGGTTCCAATTCTTCCTGAGATGAAAGAGAAAGCCATGTGGATGATCTGTGCAGATGGAGAAATAGCTAGGTCCCCAGAGGATGTAAGATGTTCCAACCCTGGGTGTATGTCTTTTCTTGTAGGAGACGAACGGCAATGGCTCTGCCAGGCCCGCACTGAGTTCTTGTGGAACTTTGGACTTGCCCCTTTTCTCTCTGCACCTCAGCACCCTCTCCCTTTCCCTCTTATTCCACCTTTACGCCCCCTTCCCTGCCTCCACCTTTTCTCTTTTCCCTCAGGAGCCAGCTGGGAGACTGAGGGGCTCTCCACACCACATTCAAAGTCCCCACACCCCCTGCTCTTCCAGCTTCCACTCTTGCCATCCTCAGTCTCAGAAACTGACCCTGTCCCCATAAACTTCTAGCCACTATACCTATAAACCCACCTGCCCTCGGCCATTCTCTTATTCAAATCCCAGACCCAGGTTTCTTTCCCTGCTCTTTCTGGAAGCCAGCTCCTCCTGCCTTTTTAGAGATTCCATCAGTGTAGACAGTCTATTTGGTGGTTAAAATGTAGATTCCAGCACCAGACTGACTGGGTTAAATCCTGACTCTGCCACTTATTAGCTCTGTGATAATGGCAAGAACTTAACCTTTCTGTGCCTGTTTCCCCATTTTTAAAAAGGAGATAAGAGAATCTATCTCATAGGATTGTTGTGAAGGGGAAAAAAAGACTTACTATATATGTAATGCATTTAAAAACATGATCTGTACAAATATTCTGTTGTCAGTTTCCACTCTCTCTCCAGTCTCTTCAGCTTCCCCCTCCCACTATGAAAATAAATTTTAAAATCCACTTTGTCCATGCCATACCCCCTCTGGCTGGGACTTTTCCCATTCTGACCTTCTTAGTCTGTGGCCACTTATGCCCCAGAGTAGAGAGAAAAATCTCTTTTTAAAACCCTATAACAATCTTGTTATACAGACTAGGAATCAGAAGCTTAAAACCAAGTCTGAGAAATACTCCCTAGGGTCACACAGCTAATAAGCAACAGAACCAAAATTTGAGCACCTGGCCTGCGTGACTCAAAAGCCAGAATTGCCCCAGCCCCTCGCCATCAGGGATGCTGGGATGGGAAGTGGTACAGCAGCCTCTGAGGATGACCAAAGATGGTGGGCATTAGGAGACTTACAACTGGGCAGTGCCACTTTTGTGGGCCCATGGGGCCACCTGCTGGCAGAAATGGGAGGGGCGTACATAGAGTGCTAAGATGGGAAGGGGGGGAAATGAGAAAAGGGTGGGGAGGGAGAAGAGTGAGGAGAGATGAAGGGAGGAGGGAGATGGGGAATTTGAAGTTTTGTGGTGGGAAAAGGAGTAGAGGCTGTTTACTACTTAAAGGAGGGAGCAGAAGCAGCCAAACCTTGGTCACTTCCTTGAAAGTGTGTGTGTGTGTGTGTGTGTGTGTGTGTGTGTGTGTGTGTGTGCGCATGAGCACCAGTAGGTGTTTCTGTATGTATCTGTATGTAAATATCTAGATGGCAACTTGGGCAGATGTGTATGCCTGTGAGCATGTAGGGTATGTACGAATGTATCTGTAGATACAGGGTAAGAAGCATAGGTGCACTGTTTGTTGACTGTTGTGGGTGGCACTCAGAAGTTCTGGGGCAGTAGTCCCAGATTTCTCTCCCTTCTCAGATCAGGAGGGGCGTTGCCCAAGTTTTGCTGTTGCCAGGCAGAGGCCTGCTGCTCCCGTGGCTGTGGGGATGGATCTCCAGGCAGCAGGGGGCAGCAGGTGCAAGAGAAGGCCCATGGGCTGGGGTGGAGCGGGCAGGCGGGCGGGCAGAAGGGAGCCTTTAAAACACCTGCCCCACCTGCAGGTGAGCAGTGGTGTGTGAGAGCCAGCTCCGTGTCTCCCTGCCTGCCCACTCAGTGGCAGTTCTCTGGAGCTGTCTGTCCCCTCTGGAGCCTCAGCAGATCTTTCTTTCAGAAGTCGCTACCAAGAATCCTGAACAGGTGGGTGATGGCGTAGGGTATAGATTATGCTATGAAGGGAACTCAATCTGAAAGCAAGTTTGGGGAGCCGGAAGGACCATGGGGAGGGTCCTGGAGGAGTCTGCGCTTGGTTTGGGGAGGGGTCAAGGATACATAGGTGCCAGGGAAGGGCATGGAGTGACCTATAGTGTGGAAGTTGGGCTTGGGTGCCAGTGGATGAACCCGAGGTGTTAAGATCTCAGAGTGTCAGGTGCTGGTAGAGGGTCTGGGCAGTAGAAAGGTAGGAATGTCAAGGTGGGAACTGGGAAAAGTCCTGAGGTGTTGGAGTCCAGATGCAGGGGAAGGTTGATGATATATGGGTTCAGGATTTTGGAGTCTGGTATGTCAGGGTTCAGTGCCAGGGCCAGGAGTTGCAGGGGGAGGTCCTAACTCATACATGTCTGCCTCCCAGGAGCCACCATGCAGTGCTACAGCTTCATTAAGACCATGATGATCTTGTTCAATTTTCTCATCTTTGTAAGTATGGGGTTTGTGAGCTCTTTGGGTCTCCCTGCAGGAGTGGGTCACAATCTGAGCAGAGCGCAAGCTGAGAAATAGGAGACTGCTGTGCCCAGACTCTCTGGCTAGTTTCCTTTTATGATGAGGTGCAGAAGTCTCTCCAAATGCTGAGCCCCCTCAGCAGCAGCCTGGATGACACATAAGTTGGAATAGAGAAACTTGGGGATCCCCTCCCTTCCAGGAAACTTCAGCCCAGACTTAGGACAGGGCAGGCTAACAGGAACAATTCTCCCCTTTTAATAAGCATTGGGGCCCAGAGAGGGGAAGGGATTTTCCCTAAGTCACCTAATGTGGGAGGAAATTCGGCCACCTCTGTATGATGGGGAGCTGAAAGAAGGTCCAAGGACCGTATAGCAGAAGGTCTGCCTCAGGCAGCCCTATTCATTTATCACACCTTAATAGCCTAAGAGTCAATGCTGAGTGCTGGGGTGACAGGTGAGCAAGCTCCTTCTCTGCCCTGGAGCAGGCCAGGTAGGCAGACGGTCGCAATGCATTATTTCTGGCATTAGCAAGGGGCTATGGGAGCCCATAGGAGGGGCTTGAAGTCCAGCTGGTCAGAGACTTCCTGGAGGAAATAGCAGAGGCTGGGGATTTGCCCTGCGTCAGGGAGTTTGTAAAGGGCGCAGAAAGGCCCAGAGGCAGTAAAATCTGATATTGCTCAGAAAACCAGGAACAGAAGGGGTAGGGCATGTTTCAGAAAGCTGAGCAATGAGGCGTAAACCCTGGAGATGGTGGTGGAGACGGGGAGAAATATACAAAGTAAACAAAGGAGAAAGCCCTCAGACGGTGGCCGAGGGATGCAGGAAGGGGCAAGGGAGACAGAGATCTTGGAGGTGATGCCCATGTCTCTGGCATGAGCAACCCAAACCAGGGGATGTCCCACAGGCAGCTTAGAGTTGCAGCTCAGGTGGGAACTGGACATGGGTATTTGAAAGTCATGTGCCCATAGGTGATCATTGAAGCCATGCAGTGGGTGAGAACAGTCAGAGAGAGTGAACCTCGAGGAAGGAGTAAGTGGAGAAATGGCCACCAGGAAGCAGAAGGAGAAAGAGCAATGGGAGGAAAACAAGGAGAGCCAGACAGAGGTCAAGGAGGTTTTGGCATGAAGTGTCTACCAGATTTAGCACAGGATGTCACCAGAGACCTTGGAGCCAAATTACAGTGGGTTAGAGTGAGTAAAAGGTGAGGAAGTGGAGACAGGAAGTGTTGATGAGTTTGGAGAAATTGGCCTGGGGTGACTAAAACACTCTGATTCCAGTGTGGGTTGTCTTGGGCTTCCTTTGGCTTTTAGGAACTAGTCTTTATCCATGTATCCAGAGACAACAGGATCCCAGTGATTTGGACAGTAAAGGCTCTGGCCGGAGAGGGTTAAAGGCAAATCCGGTTTGGTTTCTGGCCTCTGTTGCCCAGCCTTGCCAGGCTGGGCAGAGCAGGGCAGGCCTCAGACTCCTTGAAATATGACCCTGCAGGCTGAAAGCCCAGCTTTTTGTCCTTGGGCAAACATACCTGGAATCCAGCCACAGTCTGCCTCTTCGTTCCTGGTTCTAGCCTCAGTTTCTACAGCTGGAAAGTAGGGACTGGGCCCCAAGGTGGTGTCACGATGATTTACCCACCGAAGCTCTGGATCAGCTTTAAGATCTTTAGGGAACTGGGCAGTGCCCTTCTCCCCAGTCTGGGCCTCAGGGTCCCTTCTGAGGTTTGGGGCTGAGCTAGAGAGCCTCTAAGAGCTCTGGCTGTATTCCGCCTCAGTCTCTACAAGGAGAGGTCTAGGCTGGATGAAGGGCAAGCCTGGAGCCTAACCTTGGAAGGGAGCCAAATGGGGCCTCAGGGTAAGTGTCCCTTCTCAGCACCTTCCTCTCCAAGGTTGGGAGTAGGTGTAAACCTCAGCCCCGCCTTCATTACCATGGTAACTGTTGAGCCTGCTCAATGCTACCACTCCCCTGTTTCCACCTATCAGAGCACCCATAGCCTGGGGAGGAAATGGGGTGGGGTGGGTGCTTACTGGCTTGTTTTCACTCCCAGTTTGCAGCAGGACCCTGGCATCGTTGAAAGTCTTACCCCCCCTCCCCCCGGGATATTTTAGGAATTTCTGATACCATTTATATCTGCTTAGGTGTACAGCCTGGTGCTGGCTATGGGTATCCCAGCTCCCATCCTTCTGGCCCTACAGGATGTTTTTCCTTCCCATAGGATGAGTTTTTAGCCCTAGCTGGTGCGCAGTGGTTAGAGCATCTGCCTATAGACTGAAGGGTCCTGGGTTTGATTCTGGCCAAGGACAACCAATTGATGTGTCTCTCTCATGTCGATGTTTCTCTTCCTTCCACTCTGTCTCTGAAAAGCAATGGAAAAAATGTCCTCGGGTGAGAATTAAAAAAAAAGAAAAAGAGGGATGAGATTTTAGACTCAGCCAATAAAAAGTCAAGTTTCTTATCTCCCATCTTCGGGACTCAACTGTGTGGTAGGGAACTGCTTGCCAGCACTGTTTCAAGGTCTGTTTCTCTGTCCCCAGCTGTGTGGTGTGGCCCTGTTGGCAGTGGGGATCTGGGTGTCAGTCGATGGGCCATCCTTCCTGAAGACCTTTGGGCCGCTGTCGTCCAGTGCCATGCAGTTTGTCAACGTGGGCTACTTCCTCATCGCAGCTGGTGCTGTGCTCTTTGCTCTTGGTTTCCTGGGCTGCTACGGCGCTCACACTGAGAACAAGTGTGCCCTCTTGATGGTGTGTCAAACCCAGCTTCAGACCCATAACCAAAGCTCGGGGTCCCCTCACTCTAGACACCAAGCCCTGGGGATTCCCAAACCCTTTTCTGGACTCCAAGGGCCTCAGCAAAGGGGCCCCTGTCTCGCTTTTATGGGGGTGGGTTAGGGCAAGAGGGACTGTTTCTCCCTAAAATTCAGACCCCCCGTTTCCCACTCAGTTCTTCTTCATCCTGCTCCTCATCTTCATCGCTGAGGTTGCAGCTGCTGTGGTCGCCTTGGTGTATACCTCAATGGTGAGGACTGAGGATGGGGCAAGGGGGTAAGACAGGGCAAAGCCCTGGAAGTGGGCTGTGGCCTGCGAATGGCCATCTTCCCTATCAGGCCCTAAACACCGGCCTGCTCCACCCAGGCTGAGCACTTCCTGACGTTGCTGGTAGTGGACACCATCAAGAAGGACTACGGTTCCCAGAAAGACTTTACCCAAGTGTGGAACAGCACCATGGAAGGGGTAAGGTGGGCCAGGGGAGGTTTTGGAGTGGGGAGAAAGAAGCAAGGCCCCACTGACCACCCTCCCCTCCTTGTCCCCAGCTCAAGTGCTGTGGCTTCAACAACTACACGGATTTTGAAGACTCTCCCTACCTCACAAAGAACAATGTCTTTCCTCCATACTGTTGCTCTGATGATGTCAATGGCACAGTCACGGAACCCTGCACCAGGAAGAGGGCAGAGGAAAAACCCGTACAGGTGTGGGCTGGCATGGAAGGTTGGGGCTGCTTTAACGGCCTCAGAGTGCTGAAGGAGGGTGGGAGGCAGGTACTGACTATAGATGCTCTTTTCCCTTCTCCAAGGGTTGCTTCAAACAGCTTCTGAGTAACATCCGAACCAATGCAGTCACTGTGGGTGGTGTGGCAGCTGGAATTGGTGGTTTGGAGGTAAGGGGGTTAGAAGGTTGGAGCAGGATATCCCCACTGGAACAGAGCTGCTTGACCCATCTCTGAGGCCTCTCTAGAGAAGCCAGAATTCTAACAGAGTTTTATGTAAGGGGTCTGGAGGGCAGGGGACTAAATCTTAAGGATCGTGATCACGTCCCCTCATCTTTCCCTATTACTTCCCTACCAGTTGGCTGCCATGATTGTGTCCATGTATCTGTACTGCAATTTGAAATAAATCTGCTTCTGCTTCCGCCACTGCTGCTACCACACAGGACTGAGAAGAAGCACCCTGGCACTGCCAAGAGACCATGGTCAGGGTGGCAACAAGATCTGACAGCGTCATTTGGGGCAGAATGAGGCCACATAGGAACCACTCCTCAGGCTGGGCTTGACTTTGCCTTCCGTTGATTGGGTTGGGGCCCTTCTGTTCCAAATCCAGTTCTAGGGTAGCCAGTTCTCCTGCCCATGTCTCCAGTCTGTCTCTTAAACCCTTAATACCCCTTCATGCCAACAGGAGCTCTTGGTGACCCAGTACTCCACTGGGGAGTAAGGCACCCTATATCCTGAGCATATGCTAAATTAGGAGTAACCCAGCGGATGTGAAGGCACTTCAGAATTCATAAACCAATTAAAATGTTTCCATTGGGACTCTTTTCATGCGTATCCTTGGGGAGAGGGACCCATCTTGCCTAAACTGGTCTCAGGTTCCTGTGGGGCTGGAGACTCAGAAGGCCCCTGGAAAAGTAGCAGAAGTAGGGTGGACGTGGGCGGCTATTTCTTCGCTCCATTTGGATTCCAGGCCTGGGAGGGAGTGTAACAGGGATGTATGACACAGAGGGCACTGAGGGAGGAAGTGGGGGCTGGGCCAGTCTCCCTTCCTATAATGTGGGAGGACTTTGGCCTGAAACTAACTACTCATTCCTGGGTAGGGGCACTGGACCAGAAAGCTATTAAAATAACAAGCTTGTGCCCATGTGGGGGCTGGGGATACCAGAAATATTGCCAGGGCAATGGGAAACAGTCACTCCTTAGGCTCTGAGAAGCCCTTCTGGAAGCCCCATTGGTGGATCCAAGCTGCCTACCCTTTCTACTCAGTCAAAGCTCCACACCTATCCCTGCTTTCTGAAGTTCTTCAGAAAGAACTTCATTTATTCTTGGTGTTGGCCTGCCTGGTGCGCTATAGATCTCCGTTTTGTCTTAACCGCCCCCATGCTCCAGAAACTGGACCTAGAAAAGCCATGTGACTAGTTCCAGGCCCACACCATCTGATGTGGCAACAGATTTACCAGAAGGCCAGAGTGTCCCCCCACAGATCTGATTGCTGCTGAACCAGGAGCACTAAGGAGAAGGCTATGGCTGGAGAACATGGTGTCTGCTACCTAGCAAAGCCCAGCCTGGCAATCAGTCCTCATCCTTGTTTCCCTTTGACCCCTGGGTCCCTCTTTCAGGTTTTTCTAAGGCAGCCAGGAACTATCACCCCTTGCTGAGCCCAGAAAGGAACAGTGACCTGGCCGGAGCCATACAGTGCCTGAGAGCTAGGTTTGAGGCCAAAATTAGGAGCCTGATAGAGGGCAGGCAGGGAGAGCAATGAGCCCCCTGCCCCACTTCACTATGCCTCGCACACACAACCCTTCAGAGATGGGTAAGGTCTTTCTTGATGGTGGGCACTACCAGCAAAGTCAGGAAGTGCTCAGCCTGGGTGGAGCAGGCCTTGTTTAGGGCCTGATAACCAAGTTTGCAGATTTGTTTGCCCAGGGCGGGCCTCCACCTCATTGTGAGCTAATTGCTCCTCAATCTGGCTGTTATGGCACCTCGAGCACTATCTCTAGCTCCAGCAAACATTGGAGGCAGCAGGGTGGCAAGAAACGTCCAAGCTACACACCACCCGTGCCATCGCGGAGCTGAGCTCCAGGCACCGATGGGGGAGGCAAGGGCAGAGAGCTGGCAAATGGGCGGGAGTTCCTGCCTTGCTGGCCAAGGCTCTATAGGAGCTCACCAGGCTCGCCTCACAAGGGCTTTGCAGGCAGACCTTTTCTCAAGAGGTGTTCTATACTTACTCTCTTGATCCCAAGTCCTTTACAGATTCCTTAAATGTCACACCTCACCTGCTTTGGGCTATCTCATCCATTCCCTATAGATAATCCCATTCATTTTCTGGTGCCTCTATGATTTAGATCTTCTTAACCCCCCTGGATCACTGATTGGGTGAGAATCTGATGAAAAGAATGGCTTTACTCCAGAAAAAAATGTCCAGCTATGAAATCTGCATACAGTGCCCTAAGGGCCACAGAAATCCTTGTTCTTATATCTCCACCTGCAGCCCAGACCTAGCCTCCTGAATGATGCCAACCCCGTTCTGTCTCACCCACTTCCTTCTCACCCATGCCTCACTATACTCACCTGTGCTCCCATTGCCTTCCCACCCCTCTTTTCGCTCTCTTTTGCTCCATCTCTGGGGACAAGTGCCTGGCCCTGACAAGCTAGGCAGGAAATAGGGTGGTGGTTAAACAGTGGGAAAAGGGTGTGGGGTGGCTACTCCAAGTTCAGCCCCAACAGGTCAGGCTCCAGGGTGGAGCCTAAAGAAAAACCTTGAAGTTTGAGACTTGGGCAACCCCTGGTGGCCAAATGGACCCAAACGGAAGATAAAACCCTGGGGAGGGCAGTAAGGAAAACTCACCATCCATCATGACCATTTTCTCTCTCTCTCACACATTCTCTCTCTCTCTCTCTCTCTCTCTCTCTCTCTCTCTCTCACACACACACACACACACACACACACACACACACCATAAGACACATCCTTAGAGGTTTTCTCCTTTTTTAATCAATGACCATCTTATCCAGCTTTGGAAACCTGGACAAAGATGAGGCTGAGAAGAGGCCTGGTTCAGTGTGAGGGTCTCTGAGTGAGTCTGCATCAGTGGGTGGGCCCCTGCTGGGCCTCTCCAGGAGTTGGACATAACAGTTTCCTGAGTAAGAGCCAGCCCCACCCTCAGGGCAGCACCCCAGTACATAAAGGAATCAAGATCCTTCAGGCTTCACCCTGTTTCCAAGGCCCTCAGGACAGTAAATAAATAGGTTAAATTCTGAGCCAGGCCTGGGAGGAGGGAGTATACAAAGGGCAGGATCAGCTGCCCAGGGATCCCAGGTACTATCCTGCCCTTTCCCAACAAGGAAGTAAATAAATAGACCTCCAACTCAGAAATAGGGGCGTTGGAACAGGGGACCCCTCCCCTTGAAGTTAGTAATTAAGTCTCATGTTAAAAACAAACCAGCCCCAGCCCCTGCCAGTGTCTACAAAATCCTACATGATGGGGTGAAGGGCTAGCCTGCTTGGGGGTACACAGTACCCAGCCCTGCAGGGTCCTGGAGGAGGTCTCATGTCTGTTCTGCAGCTCCTGGGGCTCCCTCCTCCTTCGGGGGTGGCTCCAGGAAAATTGGGGTGATTGATGGTGGCTTCTTCACCCTGGGAAAAGAATAGGGAAGAGGTCATTAGCTATGTCCCATCCAGCCAGTCTCCCATTTCCAAGGGCAGAAAAGAGTCACTCACGAGTAGGGGGAGGCTGGGACTCCCACTACCAGGAAGTGGTTCTTCTTCCGAAACAATCTCCACAGGCCCCGGTGGTTGCCACGCACATCCAGATCCCAGATATGGAGGCACTGGTTGGGGTGGAGTACAGGGAAAGGCATGGGTCAGAGAGCTGTGGGGAGGGACCCCTAAGGACCCATGGTCCAGCCCCCACCCCTCCTCAGCAGCCTTTTCAATTTGCAAGAGATAGTATCTTTTGTTTTCTTTTTACAATCTCTCAAATTAATTTTATTCTTAAAGTATTTCTAATAAAAGGTAGCATCTTTTAAAATATGAATCTGGACAAGAGAGTAGGAAGAGGGGTTCTGAGAGTGTGAAGAGAAGGTTCTGAGGTAGAAGAGTCTAGAACAAAGACTCCTTGTATCTTGGGAGAAGGGATATTCCTGGGTAGGTACGGTATTGGGGTACCTTGGCAAGCTGGGTCCAGGTGGTGAAGTCATCATCTTTCTCCATTCGGATAAAGGCCACGTAGGTATGGCCCTCTGTGTCTGGCAGGAAAGAGTCTTCACAAGGGTTCTTGCTATGGTCCAAAACCTCGGCTTCACTGCAGCAGGGGCGGGGGGGACAAGACAGGCCCCCACTCATGAGTGCATCACACAAATCCCCTTGCTTAGATGCTGCCGTCTTGAAATTCTTAATAATTTTGAACAAGGAACCCTGAGCTTCATTTTGCAGTGGGCCCCACAAATTACGAGGCCAAGACCCTCAGTATTTGACTCTTTCTCACTCCCTGCCACATACCCCTGCTGCCCTAGGCCATACCTGAGTAGCCGGTGAACTTCTACTTCATAAGCTTCCTTCTTCAGACTGAAGGAGAGGGAGAAATGGGTCAAGGGACGGGGTATTCCCTAAGGTCCCAGTAGCAAGGCTGGGGGTCACATGGGAACTGGGGGGCAGCAGGGCTGGGGTAAACATACAGGCCCCAGGGTTGGGAGGGACTGTCAAATACTGGTCATCAAGGCTCCTAGATATCCTCCCCTTTGCCCTGTCCCCAGCCCCCACCTGTCCACGTTCCTGAGCTGGACACCTGGAACAGTGTTGAACTTGTGCTTCTTGAAGTAGGCCTCCTGGAGTGGGTGTGAGGGTGCAAATCAGGGCCTTCCATTGTCTGGCCCACACCTGCCCACTGACCCACCACATATCCACAGGCCCACAGATGAAGTCCTGGACCTGTAAAGGTCCCTCTAACTTCCTTCTCTCTTCCCCGTCCTCTCTGCAGTATACTTGACAGGTTCTTACTAGCTTTAACTTGGGCTTAAGCATTGCCAGAGAGCTCATGTCCACACCAGCAGCTCATGCTACTGACCCACGAGCTGGTCCCTGTCCCCAGTGGTTCTCCCTGGACCTGCTGTTCTAGAGGCACAGGAGCGAGGAACAGGTCCTGCAGGGGATGGTGGGCAAAGGGATAGGCTGGACTGGGAGAGGAAACTGCTGTCACTAAGGTGCTGAGAGTGATCTGAAGTAAAAGTCTGCCCCTCTTGAGGAAATGACTGGAGGTCTTGTATTTGTTGGCCTCTGAGGGCCCTTCTAGCTTCTAGGAGGTTCCAAGCTGGAAGCTGTCCATTCCTTCGGGCTGGGCTGTCTCAAGGCCTCCCTTGCTGTAATTGGGGAGTGGCCCTTTGGACACAGCCACGTAGGGGCTGGGGACCTCGCTGTTCAGGCCACAGCACTTGCAAGGACAGGAGAGGGCAGAACTTGCAGGGCTGGATAAGTGCTTGGCAGCAGAAATGCTCTCCCCATACCCACAGTCTAGTGCTAACAATAGTAATAATAAAAATAATGCCAGCTAACCCTTATATAATGCTTATAGTTCAAAGTATTTTGCATATATTAACTCATTTAAACCTCATAACCTCAGAACTCTATGAGGTCAACAGTATTTTAATTATCATTTCACAAATAAAAGTACTGAGGTAAAGAGGATTAGTGGCCCTGGCCGGGTGGCTCAGCTGGTTGGAGCATCGTTCCTTACACCTAAAGGTTGTGAGTTCGATTCCCAGTTAGGGTACATAACTAGGTTGTGGGTTTGATCCCCAACTGAGGCATAGCATGTACGGGAAGCAACCAAGCAATGTTTCTCTCTTTCTCTCTCCCTAAAAATCAATGAAAAACATATCCTTGGGTGAGGATTTAAAAAAAAGGAGGATCAGTAAT